TTAATTAAGGTAACTTAAAACCTTAATAAATACACATCACCAGTTAAAATTTCATTTATTTTTATTAAGACTTTAGGTTCTCCAAAAATTTTAATTAAACCTACTTTTGATAAGTTAATAATTTCTACCCACGAGAGATTTAATTAGCATTTGAAAAGGAATTTAAAGCTATACCATGCTGTACAAACATTATATGAAAAGCATTAAAGACTTTCTTATATGGGGGGAGAGGAAATTGCTAAAGTTGACAAACATTCAAACTTAAAAGGAAACCATGCCAAGTGACAACCTCCCTTTTAGACCAACCTGCAATATCCATATTGATTACCTCCAAGACCAAATGTTCCAGCTACTTCTGTACATCGTGGACCATGTGTAGTGACACCGTGGTTTCCACACAGAAACTACATGGATTAATACTGGGAAATTAAACCTATGTAATATTTGACCAGATCCAAATTGATTATGGTTGTATGGATATGACTTTCAATTTGATTTTTCATTACATGGTAGTTGCCTCCTTGCTGTCCCTAGATCTATTTTTTCACTATTGCCTCTAGGAACCTCTACTTACCCAACTGAAATTAAAAAAACAAAAACAAAAACAAAACTGTGACTAATTTGCTTGAGGTTTTAAAAAATAACTTATTTTTTAATTTTTATTTGAAAACATTCTTTTTTTTTATTCTTTGAGAGCGAGCGAGTGAGCATGAGTGGGGGAGGGGCAGAAAGCGAGACACAGAATCCAAAGCAGGCTCCAGGCTCTGAGCTGTCAGCACACAGCCCAATGTGGGGCTTGAACCCATGGACCAGGAGATCATGACCTGAGCCAAAATCAGATGCTTAACCGATTGAGCCACCCAGGTGCCCCGAAAAATTAATTAATTAATTTTTTTATTATAAAAGTAAAGAGCCATGTTAAAGAGTATTTTGAAAATAAAAAGTTACCCAATTTTTGCTTTTTTGGTGGATGTCTTCTTATTTTTTTACATAGTTGTAATTAGAGTATATGTATGCTTACATACCCAGGTTTTTCATTCCATATTATATATAATCATTTTAACATAGTGCTTCATAAAATGAATGATACTCTTCATAGTGGTGTTTTAGTGGTTGCCTAAAACTTAAGTGGATGAACCATAATTGACATAACCCGTTTTCCTACTGCGAGAACTTCAGTCCCAAAACCTCAACCCCTACCCCCAATGTTTTGCTGTTTTAAATTACAATTACTGTCTTCATGTTTTTTTACTTTCTTCCATATTTTGAGTAATTCTTTACTATGAATGTCCATAAGTGGAGTTCCCAGTGGGTGGTAAAGGGTTAACTCAGCAGATCTGGGTCACTCCAATGACGGCTGTGTTTGTGACTGGCCCTTGGCTGGCTCGTGGGGACTGAGCTCTTGGAATATTCTCATTAATGAGTGTTTTTCATGTCTGGGGTCTTGAGTCATGCTATAACTGCTTTTGTAGGTCGTTTTTACTGCATGCTTTACGGTGGACACCTGAGATCCCCCCCGTGGCTGTGGAGCTTCAGTAACTGAGGTCCACCATTGCAGGCACTGTGTGTGACTGACCCCTGATAAAACCCCTGGCAACCAGGCTCTCAGGTGAGCTTCCCCTGTTGACGACACTTTGCCCTTGCTGTCACACATCATCACCCAAGGAATTAAGCATATCCCATGCGACTCCGCTAAGAGGGGACTCTTGGAAGCTTGTGCCTGGTCTCCTCCAGATTGTGTTTGTCCCACGTGCCTTTTCCCTTTGAGATTTTACGCTATCCTTTTTGCTGCAATAAATGGCAGCTGTGGCTACACTAGCTTCTGGGTCTTCTGAGTCCTTTTAGGGAACCATCAAGCCTGAGGGTGGTCTTGGAGACCCGTACACAGCTGGCCTGGTTGGCATTCGGTGGCAGATAACAGAAACTACTCTAGCTAACTTAAGTGAAGTGTTTATTATCATATATTCTGTGGTTTCCAAAATTGTTTGGAATGCGTGTAAAAGTAAATGGGGTTTCCAGAGACAGTTTCTAGCCCTGGGATTTCATTTCTTCTGCCAGGATCAGAAAACCCCACACCAAGAAGCTGCTTGCTGTAAAATCACATTGCCTTAGCAAATGGATGCCTTGCCTCTTGACTTGCTCCCCTCTAAACTCAGTTCCGAATCCAGGCGTCTGAATGATGGAACTTCACTCATACATGGACTGTAGCTGCAGGGCATCTGGAAATGTGGTATTTCATTTCCACTGCGCCCAAAGACACGAGAAGGAAATTCGAATTCTGTCCAGTGGGCCAGTCCACGCTATCCAATATCTTGTGTTAAAGGATATAAACGTTTTAGCATTTCTTGATATATACTGCCAAACAGCTTTCCCAAGAGGCTGGAAAAATTGACAGTGGCTCCAGAAAGTTCTCTAGTGCTTTACTCTATGAGGGGAAGGTAATCTCCCTGGATGAAAATAAACACTGAGTAATAAGGGGCAGCCTAATCATTTCCTGTGCTCTCCTTCCCTACTTTTCTCCCACTCTGTTTTTCTTGGAAGAAACACATTCCTATAGATTGTGGTTAGAGGTAATCCCTTCCTTGAAAGCTGGGGATTATAAATCAATATGTAAATCAACTACTCTTTGTTGGTGACTTAAAAATGAATGCAAGCCAGAAATTATATAGTGCTGGCTAAGAAATTTTCATTATTTTTGAAACTACTGAATAAGCAGAAGGCTTATTTTACTTTTACTTTTATAAACTGAATTCATACTTTCCTCTTTCTTCTTACAGTAGTGGAATTGTTAGGTTCATCTCAGGCCTCCTCCAGGCCCTGTGTCTTTCCAGACTTTCCTAAATAACTACCACTGGTTGTCTTAAAAACAGAGATGGGCTTAGGGGTGCCTGGGTGGCTCAGTCAGTTAAGCATCCAACTCTTGATGTAGACTCAGGTCTATGATCTCATGGTTTGTGGGATGGAGCCCTGTACTGGGCTCTGCCCTATTACTTGGGATATCCCCTATTTGGAATTCTGTATCCCTTTCTCTCTGCCCTTCTCCTGCTCATGCTCTTTCTCTCAAAATAAATAAATATTAAATAAAGACAGGCTTGAAGTCAGCTAATAAGAGCTTTGAGATGAGATTTTTGCTCAAGAACTTTAGCTGTTGGAAGATGTAACATCTCATCCAGATGCCAAAAAAATATTTAATAACTATGGTGGATATGTTTATACAGACATACCTCATTTTACTATGCTTTGCTTTATTGTGCTTTACAGATAATGCATTTTTTAACAGATTGAAGGCTGTGGCAATTATGTGTCAAGCAAGTCTATTGACACCATGTTTCCAACAGCATTTGTTCACTTAGTGCCTCTGTGTCATGTGTTGGTGATTCTTGCAATATTTTAAACTTTTCATTATTATTATATTTGTTAATATCTGTGATTAGTGATTACTAGTGCTGAAAGCTCAGATGGTAGTTTGCATTTTTTTTTTAGCAAGAAGGTATTTTTAATTTTTATTATTTATTTATTTTTGAGAGAGAGAGAGAGAGAGAATGGATAACAGGGAGGGGCAGAGGGGAAGAAGGGGACGGAGAGGGAGAGGGAGAGAGAGAGGGAGAGGCAGAGGGAGAGAGAATGAATCCCGAGCAGACTCCATGCTGAGTATAGAGCGGGATGTGGGACTCTATCCCACTACCCTCGGATCATGATCTGAACTAAAATCAAGAACTGGATGCTCAACCGACTTAGGCACCCAGGCACCCCTATAAAGTATTTTTAAATTAAGGTATGCACATTATTATTTAGACACAATGCTATAGCACACTTAATAGACTACAGTATACTGTAAACATTTATATGCACTGGGAAACCAAACAATTAATTTGACCCGCTTTATCACAGTATTTGCTTTATTTGTGGTGGTCTGGAACCAAACCCACAATATCTCTGAGGTATGCCTGTATACACAAAGGATGTCATAAATAACAATGATTTCCTAATTCCTTAAAGGAACTTACAACTTAACAATTACTAGATCTTGGAACATTGCGGTAATTTGTTAAACAGCAATAGAAAGCAAATGCAGGGTATTTATGATACACTGTCATAAGGAGATCCTATTATTTTACATATAACATGCACATGCATAGAAAAACATCTCAAAGGATGGATGATAAATGTTGACAGCGGTTTTCACTGGGGGGTAAGACAGCAAGTGGCTTTTACTTTATCACTTATATTTACTATATTGTTTGAAAAATTTCTAATAAGCATATATTACATCAATAGCCATATGGGAAAAATAAGGGTCTGAAAAGGTGAGAAAGAAAATCATTAAAAAGTATATCCTAAGTACCTCAAAGGGGTGTAGATTTAAATTACATAACTGATAAGACTGTATTTTTATAAATTGTGCAGTATTATGAAAGTACACTGTAGCATATTTTTCTAAGCCCCTGATCTCTCTTCCTTATTTAGAATTAATAGGTCTGATGCCTTTAGGTGTGCTTAGTTTCAGAATTTTATTTTAAAGGGATATCTATGGTACAACATAATGTCTCTAGTCCTCTTACTGAAAATCATTTACAATGGACAAATCCTAACAATTTTTGCAACAAGCTTTCATTAAATTTTCCTAAAAATAGAAAGAGTTCACATTATATACCATTTTGAATTTATTTTCTTACATTTTCAAAATAATTTACTGTAAAATGTTAAGTTTCAAGGAAAATTTATGGGAAACCATAGAGCAGCTAGAGTTCTTTACAATAAAATCCAGGATAAAAATAATTTTCAGGTTGAATATTTATCAAAAGGTATAAGTAGATTATAAATATATTTTGGCAATCTGATGAATTTAAGGGCACTTTAAAAGTCATCTAGTTAAATTACTACAGATATGACACGTTTGATGAAATCTAACCTGTAAGTCTAATGCCAACGATCATTTCTTCCTGCTAAATCATAAAAATAATTTATCTGAAAAATCCATGAGTACTATAAAGATTTCTTCATAAAGATTCTTTAATAATTTGGGCTAATCTCTGGAAGGCCTAAAATAGGAAAGAGATAAGAATTAATGAAATTAGGCTGCTACTTAGGAAAAGTCTGTGATAATTTAAAAAGTTCACACAAAGTGTATCTTAGGTTGAACTAAAGCAATGGAAAGTCAAATTTAACATCAGCTTTATCAGGGTAGGATGCCAGCAATGTCCACTAATACATGTAGATATAAGCTTGTCAGAGTTCCAGGATTTTTGTGTATTCTTATAGCCCTCAAGATCATTATTTTCCATTTTCTCCATAACACTAATTACTTTTTCATATGATCTCTCACCTGAACATATGTTATATATTGTTTCAATTGTCTAACTCTATTCATATGTTAAAACAGACATAACTTCTGAAAAGTATATTTAGCGACATGAGAAAGCAAGTAAATAAAGAACACACCAAGAACCAATACATCTGCAAGGGCAAGTACAGACTCTTCTTTCAAGGTTAAGGGCACTGTTCAATTAGGGCTCTTCTATTTGGACTCCCAAATAAACACACAGTCCTTAGGAACTCGTTTCTTTGCTTCTTGTTATTATGGCTAAACCCAGACTTGTGATGAATTTAATATCATTGTATTTGACCCTTGCTGATACATTTTTCTTCAGAGAAAGAGACTGATGGCTTTCATGAATTTGTACTGTTGACTCATGTTAATTCCATGAAGGAAGGAAAGAAATTTTCTTCATAACATGTTAATAATCTGCTCACACTGTTCAGCAAGTCTGAAAACTATTCACGAAGACAAGGAAATTTAACTACAACTTGGTCTCGTGAATTTGTCTATTTATGACTGTTAAAGCGTGTCTTTTAATAGTAATTCATGACTTTTTAACTGATACCTGTTGCTGAGAAACCCAAGAAGACATTAAATAATGTTATAACTCACAAAATGAACACAAGCACCAAAAAAGTGGAATTGATATCTAGTGTTATTATGAGAAGAATATTGTGCTCACCATATCCATTTGTTCTGGAGAAGCTGAAGAGAAGGACACTCTAAAGTAAGGGCTAGGTGCTGAGGTATCGGTGTAGAAAACATTTCCAGGAAGCATTAATATCTAAGAGAGTTTATGGAAAACAAGTGAATGACCATTAAAACAAAAAAAAAACTAAAGGAAATATAGGTAGATCTAATCTCAGAGTGGGTAAAGACTTTTTACATTTGAAAAAAACTTAAGAAAATCATGAGAAAAATCATTTTATATAAAAATTCTGTATGTCCTATAATAAATAAAATAGCACACAAACTGGAAAAATGTTTATAAGAAATATGGCAAATGCTACCTCTTCTCCATATAAAGAATACAAAGAAACTAAGAAGAAAAACACTAAAATTCGAGCTTTGATGGGCAAAGTACAGCTTATAAAAGAAATAGAAATGGTAATAAACATGAATAAATGTTTAACCAACTAGAAAAGTAATATAAATTCAAACAATGAAAGACCATCTTTAAGTTATCAAATTTGGAAGTAACTTTTAAGCCGGAACTTGAAAGATAAGTAGTTGTTGGCCGAGCAAAAAGTGGGGGAAGAGTATTTTAGGGAGAAGACAGTGTAAAGGCCTTGAGATGGGAAGAAATTGGTCTGGCCGGAGAACTAAAAGGAGGTAAAAAATTTAATGAAGTGAATGACTAAAAAATGTTATGTAAGTGTGTCAAGACAGAGTGGTGGGAACAAGTGGTATTCTTGATGTGAGCACCATGGCAGTTGGCTCACGGACTGTGAAGTCCATTTCCTCTGTTTCCTGGGTATAGAAATATATTCTGTTCCCAGCTTCTTTCCAGTTATATGTGGCCATATGACCAAATCTTGGCCAATGGATGTGAAGGGATGCATGCCATTTCTAGGCCTTCCCCATAAAAATCTCTCGATGTGTGATCCATCATGCTCTTTCCATTTTGTAGCCATTGTGTAATCCATGGGTTGAAGACTGAAGAGCAACAAGAAGGAAGGAACTACAGTCTCTGATTCACTGTTTGGACAGAGTTGCCTGCAGATCACATCTTTAAAAGTTTTATGTGAGTCAGAAAGAAACTTTGATTGTGTTAAGTCTTTGAGAATGTTGTCTAATACAATCATGATATTCAAAAGGATTATTACATGGTAAAAATCTGGGCACTGTCTGGTAAAGTAAGATGAGTTGGGAGTGACATGGTGTGGGCCATTTTGGGGAAGAGATTTCAAGGCAGAAGATGGGTTTCTGTGTCCTGAATAACAATAAAATGAAAACCATCATTTCTCCCAATATAGTGGAAAAGTTTGGGAATGTATTACAAGCAAGGGGCTGTAAGAGAAGGTGGGAGAAGTAATAATCCCTTTACAAGATGACCAGGATTGGGCTAAGGTTGAGATTGTAAAGTTAGAGATTATTTAGAAAAAGAAAAGGTTACATGCAACAGGATAAATGGGATATATGGAGAACACTGAAAAAACTACAAGAAAGTCTGAGGTCTATATCCTTAGCACCCAGCTCAGAGATACATACAAATAAATAGCCACTTATCAAATGTTCTTGATGATAATGGCCTTGGCAGAAAAGCAAAGGAGACATAAAACTGGTTTATTATACTAATACGTATTTCTTTGAAATAAGTCAGTACTTGTTAAGTACTTAGTATGTAGAATTAGTAGGATTAGAACAATGAATAAAGATGAGCCTTGTCCTCAAGTAAGATGGTTAGAGAGGATGCCTGACTTGAAGTCCAGGTAGTCGGTTTCCACGTCTAAACTCTGGACATGAGTTTTTCAACGTCCAGACTACCTCCTGTCTCAGGCACTAGCGTGGTCCTGTGCCAGCATTAACACAATCTGTTTGCTTGTACTTCCTGCTTCAAGACAAAAGTGATCCTAGAAACAGATCTTAGTGTTTACAAAGACTGGCAAATGTGATAAAAGAATTAATTCACGGAGAAAAGATATCTTATTAGGTAACAATTTTGAAAATATTTAGATTTTTCACCTTAATCAATGCCCCCGAATGATAACTAAGTAGATTTAAGTACAAAATGAGGAAAAAAAACCCAAAAAACAAAAAAACCTAGAAGTCCTTATAGTCTGATTTTAAGTGGAAATAACAAGATACAAACTTTTCTGTGTAATTTTGACAATGGAAAATAATTGCACAGCCAAAATACTAGATTTAGACAAGCCCTTCAAGAAAATATATTACAAATGGTCACAAAATTGGGGTAAGCTATTTAAAAATTTTTCATTATTCTTTTACGTATTTTCCAAGTTTGCTGCCATGAGTGTGCTTTACTTTCTTAATAAGGAAAAAAAAAACCCTCTGCTCTTAGCTACTAAACTAACCAGTGGCTGGGATGACCATATTATTATTAATGTAGACCAGAAGAATAATTATGTGACTCAACAATCTATTATGGTTTTAATAATATTACTAGAGACATGAGATCTAGAGATAGGAGGTAACATCTGATATTAAAATATTAGGGGTTGGAGTGGAGGGCAACTTTTAAGTAAGAAGTCATGTTAAAGAAAAAGTACAACTCTTTTCCCCTTTTACCTCTTTCTTAATGGCTTTTTCTTCAATCAGTTGTTTTACATCATAAATGCCCTTAATTTTAAGCCATAAAAACATTCCAGCAGTAGGAACATGCCATTCTGCCAAACCTACAAACCAAAGAAGAGAATAAATATCTGCTAAAGCCAGTTTTGATGATGTCAAATCTGTTACTTAATGATGCAATCGCAGTAACTGTCAACTAGTATTTCTAAAAATGTTCCTTCAGAGATAGCATTTTTAAAACATAGAATTTTATGAGTCCTGACAATTGATGTTCTGAGTTTATTTCACAAATAAGAGAGGTGGTGAAGGTAGAGAGGGAGATATATACATGAGTATATATTTCTAATTGTAGTCAGTCTTAGGGTTGTGTGAGGAGTCTATGGCCTATGTCTACTTCCCGTAATTAGAACCATGCAGAAGCCAAATGTGGCTCTTTCAAATTTAGGAGATTCCTTAACTCCTACATTTTTCCAGTGCTTCAATAAATCCTATCTTTTATGTAATAGTTTTGAAGTCCAATGGATTAGAGTTTTTATCAGAATGTAATTAATTATGAAAAGAAGTTCCTGAAATTCAAGACCCACATGCATTTGTAGGCTTTAAGTTTCATTGAGTATTAGGATAGAGAAACCAAGAAGGAAGGATAATTATTTTGATTTTAATTATCTTTTTTTAAAAGTCGCTTTTGAATCAAACCTTTTCTTTAACTCCATTATACAAAGTGGTAGGATAGTACTCTTATCAAAAAGACAATTCTGTATTTGCCAAGAGCTTACAAAAAACAAGATATGATGGAAATAAGGAACTGGTTTTTTTTTTGTTGTTTACTGTTAATCATACTGAAGGCTTTTTTAATGATGTAATTAAAACCATGTAATTCATTAGTAGAAAATTAAATCTAAACCATCCTGCAATCACATTAGCAATAGACAATATTAGATAAATGAGGTTAACGATTAGAATGCAAGTAATCTGTAATGAGAGAACTGCCTTAGAATGTACTATTTTGTTTTTATACAGTCTGATTAGAAAAGGAGTATACTGTTGTTTGACAATTCCTCAGCTGTTTGCGGGAAATTTTGAAGTAACTCTAAAACCTTTTCAGTATTGGCATCATTTAGCTTTAAGTTATTGCTGATGGGTTTTTAGACTAAAAGGTCCTTTTTTCTCCCTTTAAAACACAAGCTCTTCGCAGCGGACAGGTAATGTAGAGATAGGTAGAACAGTGCCAGGGTTTGGAGATTGTTACTTTTGAGACTACTTACAGGGCACCATTTCTTGGCAAGAATACTTCTGGACTCTTGTTTCTTTTCTCCCAGGCTTATTATCAGTCACTATGCGGTGTTTATTCCCCACTCATAAAAATGCTAGTGTCTATCACAGGACAGGATATATGTTCCACTCACCACTTAACCATTTGTCTGCAGCTGCCAGTAATGCATCCTTCTGCTTCCTATAGAAATCAGTAACCCTGGAAGAAACAAACAATGAAAAGCATGTGTTAAATACATGCTTGATTGAAGAAACCCAAAGGCTCTGGAGTCCAGTCTATAGGAATCTGTTTTCCACCTTGTTTAAAATGTTGAATACGGGGCGCCTGGGTGGCGCAGTCGGTTAAGCGTCCGACTTCAGCCAGGTCACGATCTCGCGGTCCGTGAGTTCGAGCCCCGCGTCGGGCTCTGGGCTGATGGCTCAGAGCCTGGAGCCTGTTTCCGATTCTGTGTCTCCCTCTCTCTCTGCCCCTCCCCCGTTCATGCTCTGTCTCTCTCTGTCCCAAAAATAAATAAACCTTGAAAAAAAAAAATTAAAAAAAAATAAAATAAAATGTTGAATACTTGAAATGGGAACACAGCATGTTTGTTTACCTGTCTGCTGGTAAGCTTTGTACCATTGCATTTTTCTCCCGTTATTTTGGAATAATTCAAAAATGAAAATGAATAAAAAGAATTACATTTCTATGTAAAATTTGGAACCTAAATTGCAATACCTCTCTACATGAGCCAGGAAACCTTCTTCTCCCCATTGGTGTAGAAGCTGTGATACTAGAAGCTAAAAGAGATAAGACAACAAATGTCATGGTTCACCCTCTAAAAAGTGACATCAAAGCAAATCACTCTTGATTACCTGTAAACCACAAAAAAATATAACAAGCTGAACCAGCTTTACATAGTGATTTAAAATAAATGTAAATTAGGGGCGCCTGGGTGGCTCAGTCGGTTAAGCGTCCGACTTCGGCTCAGGTTCATGAGTTCGTTTGTGAGTTCGAGCCCTACGTGGAGCTCTGTGCTGACAACTCAGAGCCTGGAGCCTGCTTCAGATTCTGCATCTCCCTCTCTCTGCTCCTCCCCCACTCATGCTCTGTCTCTCCCTCAAAAATAAATAAAGCTTAAAAAAGAAGAAAATAATAAAATAAATTTGAATTAATGACAATAACAAATATTTATATTGCTATATGCCAGAAACTATTACAATATATTTACATATGTAGATAATTTAATCTTCATAATACCCCAATTAGGCTATTATTTCTACTTTACTGGTGAGGAAACCAAGGCCCAAGGGTTAGGTGAACTTTCCTGGGGTCACACAGCTGGTCACAGACACAGCCTGGATTCAAGTTAGGCAGTCTAGCTCCAGATCGATGCCATTAATTACCATACTATATTGCTTCTCTAAATATAAAAAATATATAGTAGATATATAGTTATATAAGGTTCTCAGTGATTTTTCTATATAATATGAAAGCTTTAATGCCATAGATGGATAGTGAAGTTTTGTTGATAACACGGACAAAAAATATGGGAAAAAACCCCAACTTGATAAAAATGGCGATATGTTCTTTATGGAATGTACAATATCAAACAAGCGTCCTGGTCTTAGTATACCATTCTATTCATTTTGAGTTCTTAGGTAGCAATTCTACCTAAGATTAAGTACTGATTCTAAAGATTGCATTAGGGATGGATCCAACAATTTCTCAAAGCTTGTGAGGAAATTTATACATTCTCCAAAATAAATTTTACTTTATTATTAAACTAAAATGTATTACAACCAGTGTCTTTAGGGGAGGTTAGCACGTGTGCAATGAAGGCAAACAAGCAATTCCTAAATAGGTCTGGAATCCTTGTGCTCAATATGGATTCCAAGACAATGAAGCTAAAGTTATATTACTTCAGTAAGGCCACTTCCATTTTCTTCAAGTTCAACAAAGTTTTTATGGCGTTCCTGGGATAGATGCTAGGGACACAAGATGACTAAGACACCATGACCTGCAAGGAGTTTGGTCTACACTGCAAACACCAGGTCAATTCAATTCTTATTTGCCTTTTATTTATTAAAAACATTTTTTAAAAGTTTATTTATTTTGAGAGAGAGAGATAGTACATGAGTGGGGTAGAGGCAGAGAGAATTCCAGGCAGGCTCCACCCTGTCAGTGCAGAGCCCGACATGGGGCTTGAACCCACTAACTAAGAGATCATGACCTGAGCCAAGAGCAAGAGTTGGACACTAAACTGACTGAGACACCCAGGCACTCCTGATTTGCCTTTTAGAGTAAACATCTGTGGTATCTGATCTTCTAATTCAGTCCATATTGGAACTAGAGATTCAGTATCAGTGACTTACTCCCTGCCACCTTAACTCAGTCTTACTTGCTAATATCTATTTTCTATTCTGATTGTTTAAAAAAAAAAAAAAAAACCTATTTCTGAAATTGTTCTTACCTGTGTAAAAGTGCTGGGGTGCATAGTTGAAACTTGTGTGTGTAAGACAACTCTCTCTATCAAGGGTTTTGGACCAGTTATAAACCCTAGTCTCAACCTGCACAAAAAGAGAAAAGGTGCAATACCAATCCTGTATTAACAAATATGACATGTGACTTTACTGCCTTCATTAGGAAGACAGTTGTAACCTGGGGACAAATGGGCCTAGACCACGAAAACGTTCTAATAAAACTAACTACTTGTTATTTAAAATACAAATTTAAGACTACATTAAAGATACAATGCAAATCTGACCAAGTATTTTGAAGTGTGTTCTTTCATATGTGAAACCCAAAACCTGACCAGTCCCACTACAACTTTAGATTAATGCCCACATACCTTTGATTTCTGGAGATGAATAAAGAAAGAAAAGGCATATATTAATAATCAAACTGATGCTTTAAGGTAAGGGGAATACAAGTATCTCAAATGAGAATTATTTGGACTAAAAGACACTCAGGTACAGTCTATCTTTTTTAGATCTGGCCATAAGTTGAGACACAAGGGCTTACCCAGAGGAGAGGACTTTTGAAAAAGAGTCAGCTCTGATGACACGCCCATCAACGTCCATGGAAAGAAATGTTGGTGCCCAGGACTTGAAATGGAAAAAATATATATTGTTAGCTTGAGAACTCTGTTAGTGACTGTATAATTATTTTGTGTAGAGAATGGAAAGGGCATAGGTTTGGATAGGAACACAGCCATCTTTTCTGTTACCTTAATCTCAACCCTTTAAAATGGAATAAGAAACAGAGATGCATGTTCTTTTATTAGTACCTGTCTTTCTTCATGGCTTTTCTGCCAGAAACACACAGAAGGGTTTATTCATTTGCTTAAGATGCTATTATTATGAATTTAGGGACACCTCAAATAGGCCCTCCTAGCCTCAAAGGTTGACGTCCAGGATCAGCAGATTTTGAGGAAGGATTCAAGAAAAATTTGTCTGGATTAGATCAAAATGAAGAGGGCCAGCAGCAGTCAGAATTATCTAGAGAGAGAATGATCCTTAGAACAGCTAGAGAGATAAAACAAGTTGAGAAATTTAGTCAATCTGCAACATTGACTTCACTGTAGATGCATACAAGAAAAGGGGCCCAGTCATGTTGAGGGTAAAGAATAGGTAGGTAGATGTGGTATTCAGCAAGCTATATAGAAAAATCAAGAGTTTTGGTTTCTTTCCAGCAGATTTTAAGGGAGCATTGAATGCAAGTATATGTTCTCTGCAGACATGAGAGCAAATATAGTGTTTGATTTTGAAGAATCAGGCACTGGGAGTCTGTACCACCGCTGCTATCTATTAGGAGAGCATGATCATGAAAAGTGGCATGAATATATAGTGGAAAAGAATCTAAAAACCCATTATTCTGCAGGTAGAATCCAGGCCTTCAGGACAGGGATGGAAAATATGTGGCATGCTGCCAGTAATGCCTTTTCCTATGTCGATAATGGACATCACTAACTGGGCATGACCCTCTTTCTCTTTCAGTGTGGGTGCAGCTTCCCAATCCTTTGCAGACATCATTCTAGTCAGCCACTGCCAAGAAACTAGTTCCTATCCCAAATGAAACCTACCTCATATCCCTTGTATGATGTTTAAAAAGCTATGAACTAGAATTTGGAGTTCAAGAAGACCATCAGCCCTGATTTACTGTTTGCCCAAATGCGTGGTATAGAGAGCTAGCTACTATTTTAAAGGTAAGTCTATTTCTGGAAAGAGCAGTAATGCCAGACACGAGAGATACCAATTCTGTGATAAAACTGAAAGATTTAAGATTGAAGTGGTAGCAAATTACTAATAATTTTATTTAATTTCCACATAAAGATAGATTAGCTCTGACTCAGTAGCCAGGCTAAAATTCAATCAGTGTAATAACTTACAACTTACCTTCCAATTGTGAAATAAATTCATATCACCACTTACCTTGTTGAACTGGAGAAAATAGTAAGGATCATCTTCTATTATGAGGAAATCATATTTTCTTGCAAGCTAAAAAAGGTTAAAGTTATATATTTAATTCTTAAGAACTGTCTAAGCTGACTGGAATCATAATTCTTTGTATCCATCCATCCATCCATCCATCCAAGAAACTACTGAGTACTTATTGTTGTAGATAATGAAGATAGAGGGATGAACAAGGCACTGAGGCCTCTCGTTCACATGGAACTTACATTCCAAGTTCTGGGAAAGATGATATACATAAGACCATGGATAACGAAGAGAAGAAATACAGATGAGAGGTTTTAGGGGCTAGGGAGAACATTAAGCAGGGTGATATTGAGTGGGGGGTGGGGGCAGAGAGAGAGAGAGGAAGAGAGAGAGATAGGGTAGCTATTTCAGAGTGAATTATTGGGAAGCCTGTCCTGACAAGGTTATGCAAGAGCTCAGAATCACAGGATGGAGCCAGTTGTGCAAATATCAAGGAAGATTCTAAGCTGAGGGATGAGTGAGACCAAAAGCCCTTGGGTGGGGGGGAAAAAAAAAGAAAAAAAAACCTTGACATGTTTAAGGGATGGAAAGAAAGCCAGGGGGCTGCAGCAAGAAGGTGATAATAAATGACAAGGCCTGAGAAGAGACTACCAGGTCACATAGCTTTGGGAGGCAGGTGAAGGAATTTGGATTTTATTTTAATTGCAAGGGGAAGTCAGAAGAGGACTGTAAACAGGAAGACCATGAGACTGGCTTTACATTTATATTTCAGCAGGGGAACGACATATATGCCTGGTTGCTGTGTGAAGAATAATTGGTTGAGGATCAAAACTGGAATGCAGCAGGGGTCCAGTGAGGAAACCATACTAGCAGACCAGTGAGGGAAGGTGGTGGCTGGGAAGATGGTGGGACTAAGGGGAGAAGAGAGAAACAGGTGGATTTGGATCCATTTGGTGGTGGAGTCCACAGTTGGGAGAGGAGAGAAGGGAAAGAGAAGAATAAAAGGTGATTGTTTATGGTGGCACTATTTATGGAGATGGAGAATGTTAGGGGTGTGACTTGGAGGTTGGGGTGTGGCTGCACTAAATCAAGAGTTCTATTAGGTCATGGTAGGTTGGAAATGCCTATTAGACACTTATGTTGGATGTTGGAAACATAAATTGGATGGAGAAATTGGATACAGAAGTCTGGCGTTCAGGGGAAAGGCGTTTCTATGATATAGAATGAAATTTACAGCCATACAACTGGATGAGACTATCTGGGAGTAATACGTAAATAAGAAGAGAACTCAGGACAGAACTGTGGAATGCGTGAAAAATAAGACAATACTTCAAAAAA